TACTTGTTTGAAGGGACTAAAGATCAAGATTGTTAGAAGTAAAACGAAGGAATATAAATTTGGTTTTTTTGATCAAGGCTAAAATAGATATGTTGCTATCTCTGGTAACCCTTAATGGATTTTTGCTGACATCAGAACTCAAATGACGAGGTTTTGTGGATTTGTTTATAGCTAAGAGGTGGGATATGGGAAGAAGAGATCATATGTTATATTTTAAGAGAAGGTGATAAGTTACTAAAATTGTTTATACTTATTGTGATGAAGGTGGGAAGTCACTTCTTATATAAAGTAAAAGGTACAGAAAAGAAAGGAAAAAAAAGAAAAAAGAGAAAGAAATAGAAAAGAAAGAAAAATAAGAATATAGTAAAGAAAAAGAAAAGTATATATTTCTTTTCTTTTTTTTTACTATATTCTTATTTTTCTTTCTTTTCTATTTCTTTCTATTTTTTCCTTTTTTTTCCTTTTTCCTTTCTTTTCTGCACCTTTTACTTTTTCTTTTTACTTTTTTTTTTTAGTTTGTATTAGTTTTTATTGTTGTAATTATAATTCTTAATAAAATTACTATGTAAAAAAAGAATTTCCCAGCAGTATGACTGATGTCTTTATTCAGGTAGGTTACGATTAGTGTGAGCTCACTAATCGCTTAGTCCTTAGCAACCACAATTGGGACCGGCAACTCCATTGCTAAGTAACATGTTGGCTAAGCGAAACATCATGTAACCATGACAGTCTTGTGACATCACTTCCCATTCGGTCATTAAGTGAGTCACCATGAGTTGTTAAGTGATACATCATGTGACCCTGACTTTCAGTTTTACTGCTGGCTTCTCCATTGACTATGCTTGTTGGAAACTGGTTGCAAAGTGTCCAAATGGCAGTCATGTGACTATGGCATGTTGCAATGGTCATAAATGCCTGCTGGTTGCGAAATGCCCACGTCTCGATCACGTGACCACTGGAACACTGCAACAGTCATAAGTGTGAGGACTGGTCACAAAGTTACTTTTTCAGCACTGTTGTAACTTTGAACAGTCACTAAACAGGGCAGTTGTTAAGTGAGGTCTACTTGCAGTATTCGATTTACTGCAAATTGTAAATTGATGCCAGGTTGCATTTAATCCGAGCCAAAATTCACTTAATGCAAGGCTAGCGCAGGTACAATTGAGGTTAGTGCGTGTGCAGTTGCAGTTGGGATTTTAGACACTGCTAATCTTTGAGTGTGCAAAATGGAGAAAAGGAAGATTCTGTCAGAGGAAAAAAATGCAAGTTTAGAAAAGAAGACACTCATTATTACATTACAGCAAAAATTTGACGTAATTGAGCTATATGAATGAGGTCATAGCAACTCTAATATAGGACAAGATATTGGAAAGCCTGAATCTACGATAGAATTTTTTTTGTTTTTATTTGCTTTCTATAACTACCCTGTGTCTTTGTTAACCATAAATTTAAAGTATATTCTTTTTAACCTTTACTCTAATATTTCATTAATATACATATAAAAAATTAAGTTTAAAAATTTTCATTGCTTATTTCCATTGAGCTGGAACTAATTACCATATTTTCCATAAAAATATCATTTTAAATAGTGCCAATTCAAATAATGTGACCATTTTCTGGGATTTGTGAACTGTACTCATCGAGACCTACCTGTACAATCATAAAGATTGCAACTAATATCCCTGAGCCGAACTCTTCTCTTTGGATTTGGTCCTTAAGGCGAACAATTTTGTTGTTTCATGTGGAAATGTCAAATTTTGGAAAAAAAAAATCTGCTATTTGGGTCATTGCTGTTATTAAAAAAAAATTCTCATGGAGGAAAATAAGTGGCCCTTGAGGATCCCTTCCCCCCCCCCCGGAGATTCTTTGCAATGACATCACCAAATTTACCTTAGACCATCTGACATATATAATGTTTTTAAGATGCAGGCTGCTGAGGAGGATACTAATGAAGCTGAACCATAATGCTGTTGCATCTGTGTTTGATTTTTCAAAATAAAATGGTCAGTGAAAAATTCAGTATGGGGTGGCTGATGGGTAACAACCTGAACGCGGGGCAATTGTAGCCCAGCAGAGAATTTGCAAGACCCTTGGGAATAAACCTGTTCTATATCCTTATTAGAGTAATTGTCCTGCTCCGAAATAGGAGGCCACACCGATTTAAAAAGAACGGTATCAAGAATCCGTAATACAAAGGCGGCGGCTGAGCTGTGAAATCAAATTCTCTCGGTTATTTTGTCCTTTTCGTGTGGCCTGTGCCCATATGTGAAGTAACTCCAAACTTTAAAGAATGATGTTGATGTTTTTGTTGTCGTTATTAGTATCATCATTAACAGTCGCAACTCACCTTCGCTTTTCTGCCGGTAGGAGCGTCAAGAAAATATGACAAAAGGTACTTTGTGCCTTGACATCAGAGGGGAAAGAAAATACTCTTGGAAAATTTCATGCTGCTAAATCTCCACAGATTTACACTTTTATGCAGTCAAATTAATGCAAAACCCCCAACGTAAGGGTTTGCATTTTGAAAATTTGGGAGGAGTGTCGTTCCATAATAGTAATTATTGGTTTTATATTGTTTTTTCACAGGGGAACTGATCACAGCTGCCTGTGAGCTTGGAGTGAGTATTAGTTGTATTGTTTAATCAATGCTCTCATTAACAGTTTTAGGAATTAAGGAAGTTTAATTAAGCATGGATTTAAAGTAGATTAATATATTTTCAAACCACAGTTTTTCTAACTTATAAGTACGGCACACGACAATTTACTCCCAAGTTTTAAATCCAATTAAACTAAATTATAAAGTAAAGGCTTTACTGTATATACAGTAGCTGGCTTATTATCAATCCAAATTTTGTATAAGCTGGGGAGAATAAAAATAAATCGGGTTAACAATTTTAATAAGTTTTATTATTCAATAAACTTTATTAAGGCGCATGATCCCCTTTAGGCAAAACCTTAAGGACTGTCATCACGGTGGTAATCCGATAGCAGTGTGGTCTTTCAACTTGCTAACCAATAAAATAGTTCAGCATCTGTTTTTTCCCCCCTTTTCTCTCTTTTATAATTGTATAATAAAAGGAAACCCAGCTTTCTGAATGGCCGGAATACACTATGAATCCAAACTTCAAGCCATTTAAAGGATAATAGCAATCCATGTCGCCATGTTTTCAAGGGATCTGTTCTCATCTATGTTTTGTGTGTCCCCATTCCCTAAGGCAAACATTTTGCTGTTTTTAAAGTTGGCACTTCCAGAAGGGAGAGGGGGAGAAGAGTAGCTTTTTAAGGCATCGTGCTCTAACGAACGGTTTATGACTAAGCTAATAAGAAAGCTATTTCCCCCTTAGACAGCCATTGTGACATCTCAGAGCAAAAGCCTTTTCTGTCTGTTTGCAGGTTGCTCATCCCCCTGGCTACCCCCTCTTCACTCTTCTGGCAAAACTGGCAATTGAGCTTTTCCCCTTTGGTTCTGCCGTGCATCGCGTCAGTCTCCTCTGCGCCTTGTTGGGAGCAACGGCGGCATCGCTTCTGTTTTATACAGTTGTCAGGTACGGGAGATCCTATGGGTACCTTCCAACTCGCAATATGAAAAAATACACAGTGCAGTTTTGCAATCACATGCAGAATATTCTGTGAACCATCCTTACGATCAATAAAATCTCTCTGGTGAAATATCTTCATAGTATACAAGAAAGGATATTTTTCTATGATATAATAGTGCAGCTAGATGTAAAAGTTAGTAATAATTTGATCTCTTTAGCATCTAGTGGGCCATTAAAGCAGCGGTTCCCCCTGCAGGCTGTTAATTGATCCAACTGGCTACTGTTTACATGATTTCAGTTGGACATTTAACATTGAACTCCTCCGAAAAAAAGAGAAAGACAAAAATGTGGAACACCCAGAGCACAAAACTGCCAAACTAATTTATTTCAGAAGAGTTATAACATTGTTCTGTCTTATTATCATACATCAGTGACCAGGTTTATCTAACCAGAAGTAACAAAGTTTGTCATTATAGAAAGACGCAGATGGCTTTTAAAAAATATTCACAATACCAGTGTCAGCTGTACTGGCAAACTTTTTAATTGCTAGTATTACAAAACAGAGGCAGATGCCTCTTGATGGTTTTTATTCTGTCTATTTTACCTGTGCAGAGTACAGTAAGCAGGACGTGGTACTGACTAAATTGTATGGAATTAAAGTAAAATGTATGGGAATCATGGTGTGAACAGAAAAGCAGGGATTGCAGCTCCGTGGCTATGTGAGCCAAATTGCAGGGAATTGCCAGCAAGACCTACTTTTTTGCCCTGGATGCCGTGTTCTAAGCATACAAGAACAAGGACGTAAGGAATGGCTGGTACTTTGCCCGCCCTTCTGTCTTCTGATCCTCAAGGGAGAAGGCTTCTCTGGGTACTATTGCATTTCGCTATTTGGGTAGCTTTCCCCAGTCTGAAGGACGCCAAATTTCAAAGGACTGCCTTATAACCCTTTCACGTGTATTTGCATGTGCGAGAGGTGTTTCTCTGTGCTTTAATTCAGCAGAGCAGAAGCAGGGGGCAGCCATGTGACTTTTCCCCTCGTAGTTGGGAATGACCTACGGCAGACATAAAGGCAGAGCTAAAGTCTTCTTCACGTTGAGCTCAGGTGCTTGGTGACTTCATGGTTCTAGCGATTCGCCTTCTAGGCAGACTTGACTCGCAGGGACTACATGGACGAGTCCGTACAGTTTTCTAGGCAGCAGTTTTGAAAGTGATTTGCCATTGTCTGTCTTCTTCCTGGGTCTGAAAGAGCGTGACCGCCCCCAAGTCACACAGCTGGCTTTGTGGCTCAGATGGGACTAGAACTCGGGTCTCCTTGCCCCTAGTCCAGTACCTTACCCACTTCATGGACACATCTGTGTAGTTTTTTTTGGCAACAATAGGAAAGTGGATTTCGCAGTGGTCTTCTATATAAATACTAGCCGAGTCCAACCCTAATTTGCTTTTTGAGATCAAATTTCTTTGGGTGCTGTCATCCAGAGGGTATGGGCAGCAGTCCACAGTGAAATTTCTTTCTTTCGTTAGTAAATTTAGCAGCTTCTTGACTCCCGAATGAGTCTGAGCAGCTGACGCTATCAGTATGATAGTAATAAGACTGTAGCGTACTGAAATGTTCACGGGCTTCAACGGCATTGCCTGTGAGTGGTACATCAGCCCTGCAAAGTACAGCTGTACTAGGATGCCCATTATTGCAAATGGGGAAACTGAGGCTGGGAGAGACTTCCTTGCCTAAGGCTACCTATTGCAGTGTTGTCCAAACTTGGCCACTTTAAGATGAGTGGACTTCAACTCCCAGAATTCAACTCCCAGAATGAGTGGACTTCAACTCCCAGAATGCTGGTTGGGGAATTCTGGGAATTGAAGTCCACTCATCTTAAAGTTGCCAAGTTTGGACAACACTGACCTATTGGATTCTTTGGGAGCTGATATTTGAATGGAGGGCTGCACGACTTCCCACTGTGATCATCTGTGTGCCTTCTGGGACCGTGTGGACAAATCCAGTCATAGTAATCCTTTCTATCCGAATGTGATCTTTCCTCTCAGCTGAGGATTGGTTGGTCAGGAGAGACACCTGCAATTGGCCCCCTGCACAGAGGTTGGGGATTCACATGTAAACCCCAAATGAGAGAGATTGTCATGTAGGAGAAACAGGCCCTGTTCCTTGGTGATTAACTGTATTCACTTTGCTTGATATAATGACATTTTTAGATGGGGGTATACTTAATGACTTGAGGGCCCTTTAATTTTTAGGATACCCAAAAAGTTTCTGTAAGCAAGGATCTTCTGGGAAGGTTTTGGGAGAGTTGGTATTTTTGTTTTCCAATCACTTACTTGCCCCATATTTAAGGGAGAATTGGATTGTTTTGCAAAACAGTAAGATTATTTCCATATAAAAGTTATTCTGAAAATATTCAAAGGACAGGAAGCTCCTTCACCTCCTCATCCTCCCCCAACTCAGTAACGTTGGAAAATATTTACTTTTATATAAATACATTGCTCTTAATTAAGGGATTGCAGAAACCTCTCGGGCAGACTTTCTAATCTTATTTAGAAAGTACAGTTAATCATTGCAATAATCCCATTTTATGGGTTGGAAACTGAGGCTGATAGATACTGAGTTGCCCAAGGCCAGTCTGTAAAAAAAAATGTTCATGGCCAATTAACGTCTACGCGTTGCATTGCCGCTGCCCGAGCACCAACACACTGGGTCACCCTGGCCATTATGACAGCTTTCTGAACTTTTATGAAAAAATAAAAACAAGGCCTCCTTCTGCCTGGGAATATTTTGAGAGAAGTCAGACATCTCAATTCTTAGGAGGAAAAAATATTATTTATTCTATAAGAAAAAAAATTCCATGGTGCAAAAGAAACAGGCTGGAATTTCTCAGGAAGATGAACGCCACCTGTAAATAGTGGGATAGGAACGATTACGAGTCTTTCAGTGTCCCTTATTACACACTTCCTTTTCTATTGAATAAGGATTAGCATTCTCCCGTAATGTTAATTTGAAATCCAAACCTGTCCTGCACTTTGCCAAGTGCTCCTGCCGATCTTTGGTTGAAATTAATGCAGGGTGAGCGGGAAGAAGGCTCGGCGGATGATTTTCTTTCCTCGGCTGGGATAAATGCTTTACGTACTGCCTGCCTGCAGGGAGAACTCTCTTCAGTCCCTTATTTGCTTAAGTACACTTCTTTAAGATTTTATGAATAGGACTTCCCCTATCAGATAATTCACCCTTAACTAATTTTCAGTGTAGTGCAAAGAAAGAGGGTTAAAAATAATAAAAGGCCCAAAGCTTTTGAAGGAAAATATTTAAAGCAGAAACTCTCAAGGCAACGATGCTTTTTGTCAGTTAGTAACTGCGTTGAGCATATATGTTAGGGAAGAATAAATAACTGCTCACATTCCATTAGTGGGTGTGCTGATGGTGGAGAAATCCCATTGAACTCATTTAAATTAATCTTTAATGCATTCCAACTAATCCTGCTCCTTGAAGCCATCCACCTTCGTCCTTCACCTTTTTTAAGTTCACAGGCTGAAACCTTACAAAGGAATTGCATTGGAAGGGGGTAATTTTTGTGGTATTTCAGTTGATTTGTGGGAGGTGAAGAAACAGGCAAACTAATTTTGGGGGTTTTAAACAATGGCATTAATATTTAATTACACTGGGATTATAAATGCAAACCTGTACAATATTTGATGCATGCTTTAAAGTTGTAGAGGAAATTCATCTCCTTCATTCCTTCTTTCCTGGAAGGTGCCAGTAACAAAAACAGGCTGTTATGTATCTCCCAGAAAATCAGTAGGTTACCTTCAGAGTTTCCTGATTTGGGGGTGGCACCTTTTGACTGGCCTGGCTTTGTGTTATGCTATGTGTGTGTGTGTGTGTGTGAGAGAGAGAGAGAGTTTAAAACCTTCAGAACTAAATATTTGTGCATGCATTTCTGATTTTGAGGGCTGGAAATATACCCTTCCAGCAACGTTTGTTCACTGTACTGGGATGTTTCATTGGTTTATAGATGATGCCAATTCTACACGCTGCTGCAAAGGAATTTGCATTAACACTATAGACGCTTAAATATTGCTAATATATTTGCAGATTCGGTTGTCCAATCTGCCTTGACTTGGCAGCTGCTGTTTGCCCACACATTGCGACAACCTCTTCTTAAATAAATAAAAATTAAAGGACCCTTCAGGTTCCTTTGGAATGGCTCAACCAATTTGTTTCCAGTGTCTGAAGAGTTGTTTCCTTTCCTCTCGAATGGTTTAGACAGATCATTTTAACTGGAAAAATTTCACTGGGGTCTAAATAGCATGGGGCAGATTTATAGACCTCAGACATCCCTAACCTTTACATGAGGTAGAACCCTAAAGACTTTAAAGGGTTTTTTTTCCCTTGGGGAGGTAGGTGGGATGAGCAAAAACTGTCTGTTCTGTATTCTGATGGACGCTTGTGAATACGGATGGTTTCTCAATTTTTTTTTTTAAGATGCCAAATAATTAATGAAGCACGCATCCTTCGGGAACAATGCAGTTCAAGTGGGAAGTCTGTTTTCTCATCAAACAATACGCACCCTTCAGAAAGGAACAAGCCATCTCCACGGCAATTTGTGCAGAGTGGCCTATTGATTCAGCGGAAGAAGACATTATACAGTGTCACTTGGGGTGGTTACAATTTCATTTGTCGGGTGACCTGAACTTAACCTTCTAAAAACCTTTTCTTCTTTGTACATAACACCAGCCTCGTGGGTTTACTGCACCGACAGTGGAGTACAGTGAAGAATTACAGCCGGGGTCTTGTTTCTTAAACAGACCACCCCTCCCGATGTACACATTTTCTCCATTTATATGCTATGTAAATCAGTTCTTTCAATAGATTTTGTTCCTTTTATTGGCATCCCTTTCGAGACATTTCTTAAGTTTCACGTTCTTTGCAGATCATGATAGTTTCATTTTAATGTTTAATTGGGCGACACTCTTGTAGTTTAATTCATTCCCGCTTAGGAGGA